CGATGTTAAACTGAATCGTGAGATCAAGAATAAATGTTCAAATCTAACCAAATTTGAATAATTATTTAACGTGATCGAAAAAAGGATGCACATACAATAATCACGCTGTCCAATGGAGTTCGAGATTTTGTACACAATTAGTTGGCTGTAAACCATACACTTCGTTTCACTACGTTCCTGATATAAATCTTATAATTAATATTTTTTAAATAATTTCAATAAACAATTTAATTCATGAAAAATATTTTTTTATATGCAAGTATAGTTAAATTATTATGCTAATACAATAATAATAAATAAAAAACATTTTAAAATTTTTATAATATAAATCGATCTAGGTAAGTTTGAACATCACTCGGAAAACGTGTATCGTATAGGCGAGTTGATAACACGAATGTATTTGTGATGATTACAGCTAATTTCAAAATTCATGGACCACACCAAAAATTTATCCAGAATTATTGTCGGGATGTGGGTGATCACGAGTTTTAGATTATGTATTATACGTATTACAATAGCGATGGACGTTTATGTAAAAATAAAATAAATATTATACGTAACAATATATCGATATTCATTAGTCAACCATATTTAGAGTGATAGCCAATAAAAAAGAACTTCGGGTAATGTGATAAAAAAAATAGATACATATATCTATATAAAGAAATGTAAAACATCAAAGAATCTACATCATTTAACAAGATCCATACTTGTTTACAAGGCTTCCTTGGATAACCATCTCTTAAAGAAATCTTGACATGCACTTCTCTGGTCATAAGGTGGCATATGTCCGGCCTCAAAAATTCTCAAGAATGTAAGTTCTTTATAAGTTTTAACATCTCCAGCATGCCTTGCGGGGTCATAAATAGTTTTTTTTGTTATCCAGGGAGTAACTTTAGCCTCGTTAAAGCCTTTTTTGCCACTCCATCCAAGTTCTTTTACCCATGCTTTATTACCTGAATGAAATATAATTATTGATTAAAATCTCGCCATAGTGGATTTAAACTCAAGATAGTCTATATAAAATTCTCTTAATATAGAAAATTTTTATTAATAAAACTAATGATATTTGCTTACCAAGCCAATTCAAAAGATAATCAACATCACCTATAAAAATTGTATTGTTATAATAAATTAAGTAGAACTTTTTAGATAAAATTATTCTATTTATAAAATTACCTGCGTATATTAATACTCGAATCTTACTTTCCAAAAGTGGCGGAATCAATTGATCGAATCGAAGTGCCCTATATTAAAAAGAAAATACTATTTAACATATTCTTTTTCTCAAAAAAAGAAAAAACTTTGTCATAAATTAATTTAAATTATCTATGGTGCTTTATTACCTATTGTATGTTTTAATATATTTTTAAAATTTTTTATAAGTAGTTTAGATATAAAGCTTTTAATTTAAAGTTTCTTATGTAAGATTAGAGCTATATCTGATGTTTAAGTGAGCGTGAACATTTTTACTCAAAGCACCATATGCAAATTGGCAATTTTTCGATAACGCACATATAATGTAAAACACTGTACGCAGGTGCGATGTGTTTTTAATGAAATTAATTAATTTACAGTCATGCCTAGTTCTGCTTACATATGGGGGATATAACCCGATATAACCAGATGGAATATAACTCAGATATGACTGTATATTACCGTACCGCATTGCATTTGGTACCCCATTATTTAATACTCCCTTTAAATAATATCCGGATACATTACAAAAAAAAATCTCGAAAAAAATTGTATAAGACCCGGGGTACTAAAGGCAGTGCGGTACGGTAATTCATAAATTAATTGACAAATTTAGATTGCTTACACATCACCGGATGCAGCGAAATTTAAAGGAGCTAAAAAGTTACACGCCGCAAAACCGAACGAAGGATCAACACCTAATTGAGTCTTAACCTCTTCAATATTGCAAAAATTTTCGAAGTCGCCTGCCTCCGAATAGCAGTATTTACCATCATCACATCTACGTCTCATATCATAAAGACTTCGCTTCTTATGATTGTTCATATAAGGTTGAATCATTATCGTATAACAGACAAACGTAGCATTCTTGCAGGTTCCTGTATCTTTTGAATCATAGCATTTCTGAATTTCGGAAGCACATATAGGAAAACGCTGTCTCATTTGATCACATGTATGATTTGATATTACTCTTAAATTAGGTGTGTTACAAGCCATATCGGGATACTGTTTGAGTTGCACCAGAGGATTTAAGAGGGCATTTCCGATCAAGATGGATTCAAGATTGATATGAGGAAAATTTGAAATTTTGTTATTATTATGTATTTTTGCGGCTATGGCGGGTATGAAGTGTCCAGCATACCTATTAACAATATGTTACTAATGATTGTTATTTTGTAATTTTAGCTTGGATAATAAAAATATTAACAATGCTTACGATTCACCAGCGATGTGAAAATCCAAACGTTTATAATTAGGAAAGTGATGGAACCATAATTGTAAAAATGCATAGACATCGTCAGCAGCGGATGAAGTAACATTTACAGGATCACCACCATAAGAATACCCTGTATTAGTTGGCTATAAGACAAAACTTATTGATTATTACTCAAAAATAAATACAGTAAGATAAAATAACGAAAAATTTTCTTTTCATACTTGGT